TTTTTTAAAAACAAAGAAGCAGGCTGTACAGATAACAAAGCCAGGAGAGACCTGGGAGAGAAAGGAGGAGGCATTTTTGTAAGGGTCCAATCAACCCAAGCCTTTAGGAAAGACTGTTTTGTAATATGTGATTATTATGATTTATTAATGGCTTATTATATAGTAGATGTATTACTAAGTATATTACTTCTCATTTTTGCAACAGCTCTTTGAGCTAAGAATTATATCAAGGTTACATGGTTCTTTCTGAGGCCCTTTCAGACTGACTCTGAATTTGCCTAGGTTCAAATTCCAGCTCTGCCAAGTATCATCTGTATGACTTAACCTATACATGCCTTAGTTTTCTCATTTGAAAAATGGGAATAATATTATAGTACTTTTTCCATTGGGTTATTGTGAGGATTCAATGAGATAATGTCCCAGTAAGTTAAGCATTCAGGAATTTTCTAAATAAAAGCATTATTCCTATTGGCCCCATTCAGTAGATGACTCTAAACAGCAAGCTCTTACCATTGAGTAAGGTTAAGACAGATTGCTGCATCAATAAAGCAGAGCTGGAACTAATTTTTGATGTAGTGAGGGAGGTTGGGGGCAAGTTTTCTGAACACAAATCCACTGATGTGGTGCCCTGGTAAAACTCTTTAGGAAAGCCTTTTGTTTCCCATCCCTTGGGCAGATCCAGTTACTCCCTCCTATGGACCCCCAATATCACCTACAGACCTCTGGCACAGCGATTATTTGCTATACATTTGATTCACACATCTGTCTTTACCCATTAGACTCTGAACTCCCTTAAGGCAGAATTCTTTTATTAAGCTTTGTAATCCCAGCTTCAACTCTGCCCTGGCAACCAGTAGATGCTCAATGAATCTCAGCTAACTAACAGGGGAAAGAATCCTAGGTGGGCATTGTTTTGGTAAATGGTTTCTCAGTGTTCCTGACATGTCAACTCCTTAAAAGTGAACTGTATAGCCCTGGCTGGTGTCGCTCAGTAGTTAGAGCGTCAGCCTGTGCACCAAAGGGTCACGGGTTAGATTCCCAGTCAAGGGCACATACCTGGGTTGCAGGTTCAATCCCCGGCCCTGGTCAGGGTCATGCAAGAGGCAACCAATCCATGTGCCTCTCTCACATCTCTCTCTTTCTCTCTCTCTCTCTCCCTCCCTCCCTTCCATTCTAGCTAAAATAACCAATGGAAAAATATCCTTAGATAAGGATTAACAACAACAACAACAACAACAAGTGAACTGTATTGTTAGTATTTATTAGATGAGCCCAAGTTCCTCACCCATCAAACAGGACTAAAAGGCAAGACAGTGATGACAGAGAGAACAAATGAGGGACAGAGTGAGAAGCTGGGGAACACTGGTGTCTTTGTTCAGTAGACAACAAGGAGCAGAGGCTCAAAGAGGTTGAATCTGTAGCCCAGAAACTGCTGACTCTGGGCTTTCTGTGGTAGGGAAGATGTACAGGATCCTTACCAAGAAGAGAGCAAAAAAGGCTAGAAACCACCATCCTTGTCAGTAATCAAATAGCAAGGGAGACCCAGACCTTTCTCTCTGAATTACCTGGTGACCTTGAGATGAGTCCAACCACTGAGCCCCACCACGCTAGCTTAATGAAAAGAACACTGGATAAACATATGGAAGATAAACCCTATGTCACAGGACTGTTTTGAGTATCAGATGTGTTTTAAAAAGTCTACTGTAGGGAGCCCGGCCAGGCCCTGAGCAGTTCATCAGACTGGATGAAAGTTGGATTAACTTTGGGCCCAATCTTCTTGTGGATCTATCTCATCAAACATAATAATGGGCTCTGGCCAGTTTGGCTCAGAGGTTAGAGCGTCGATCGGTGGACTAATGAGCTGCGGGTTCAATTCCGGTCAAGGGCATGTACCTCGGTTGTGATTCCTCCCCCGCTCTGGTTGGGGTTGTGCGAGAGGCAGCCGCTTGATGTGTCCTCTTCACGTTGATGTTTCTCTCTCTCTCCCTCCCTCCCTCCCTCCCTCCCTCCCTCCCACTCTATTTGAACAAAAGTGGAAAAATGTCCTCGGGTGAGGATAAAACAAAAACAAAAACATAATAAAGATGTTTTAGAGTATAAAAGAAGAAATGCGTTGGAATGAACTTTTAAAATATTAATACAGTTTGCTTCATCTAGAGATTAAAGCAGTAGTTATATGTGAATATGTTGTCAGTATTTGTTTCATATCATTAAATGAAAAAATAAAAATACTTTTGTATTCTTCAAAAAATGTCTACTATACAACTTTGCAAATGTAAAGGTAATATTTTTATTAGATCTGAAATAGAAGGCTTAGTAAAATGCAAAGATAGCCCTCACCAAATGCCAAGGACAACTCCCTCTGCTAGGGTCTGGATAAAATCCTGGAGTACATTCCTACCCATCAAATTCACTGATGAAGATGGTAATGGAGGAGCAGAAGTCTGACACATTCTCTTCAGACCCCTCTCAGGATTGTTCCCATAGTTACTGGTGTCAGAGTGGTCATCAGTGGGAACTGCACTGTGGGCTTCTTAGATAAGCCTGTGGATGCACGTGAAACTTCTTAAAGCAAGAACAGACTTTAAGCTGTGTGGGTTAGAGGAACCTTTCCAGACACTGAGCTAATTACCCAACCCCTGGTCCTTCAATTGTTTGGAAACATTTGGTGGCCGTGAAGCCTATTTTTTCCTCATTTTCCTGTTTTCTGGGATAAACACATCAAAACAGAAAGCTTGACTCTCTAACAATGCCCTCTGATTAGTGGTTTGCAGAATGCTCTGTAATTTTATGATATGCTGGCTAGAAATAGAAGAACGGAGGAGTGTAAATAGTGCTATGGCCCAAAAAGGGAGTCAGGAACCCTGAACTTTAGGCTTGGTTTGTGGACTGCCTCTATAAAGCTGGTTACAGACCTTCGTTGCTTCATCTAGAAAATGGAGAAACTGGATCAGATTAGTGTTGCATGAACTCTTCTGCAAAAGAACAGTGTTCCTCAAGATGTTAATAAAAGTTCCTGAGAAAAGAGGCTCCCAGGTCAAATACAGACAGGAAAGTTGGCATACTCCATTCTCCCCCACCTCTCCAAGTCACATGCACACTAAAGGCTCTAAGAAGTCAGCAATGAAGATATGTACTTTAAGCCTGGCCGGTGTGGCTCAGTGGATTGAGCATATTCCCATGGACTGAGAGGTCCTGGTTTGATTCCTGGTCAGGGCAGATGTCTGGATTGTGGGCTCAATCTGCAGTGGGGGACATGCAGGAGGCAGCCGATGGATATTTCTCTCTCACATCGATGTTTCTATCTCCCTTTCTTTCTCTAAAACAAACAAACAAACAAACAAACAAACAAACAAACCAATAAGCACAAAACAAAAAAGTAGTTTGCATTATTTGATCAGACTTTTCCTAGATTATTAATATCTCTTCTGAGAAAGGCACACTGGAATAGATCTCTAGGGTCCCTTATCAACTCAAACCCACTGTGATTCATATCAGAAGTACTTAGCTAGTGCCTGGGGCACCCATGCCTCCCACTAATCTAGTTCTCTTAACCCAGTGAGGCACTTAAATGATACTCTGGCTAATAGGAATTTATTACATGTAGTTCATTTTACTGTAGTGAGAGTAGTAATTTTCAAAAATTCAGAATATAAGACATTTAAAACACTAAGGGGAAAGCCTACAGTTTACTGAGCTCCTAATACTTGTTCTATACTGTGCCAGCATTTTCTCTACATGATTTCACTGAATCCTTAGACAATCATAAGAATATTGTTATCCTCCTATTATAGAGAAGGAAACTGAGGCTTGGGGAGGCTAAATAACTTGCCCAAGGTTATGTAGCCAACAAGTGGTGAGCACCAGATTTCAAACCCAGGACTATTTATTTCCCAAATCTTGGTTCTGCTTGGGGCTCTGCCACCTTGATTAACCTTCCCTGTTCTCAACTGTCAAGTGGGACTAGTAATCCTCACACTGCTTCACTCACAGAGTTGCTCAAAGATTCAAAGGCAATAACAAGTATGAAAGAGCTCTGTTATGCATAAAGATGAATATGAGGGGCATCTGAAACATTGTGAATAAATATGACTATTTCCTTTCATAGTTTATAAGGTACTTGAGGTCTTGCAGGCTTCCCATGATGGAAGTCAATTGTCCTTATCCCAGTTACCCCCCGATAAAGAGCCTCTTAAAATTTTCCAGTTAGGATTTAGGATACACAGGAAATATGTCAATTTCTCAGTACCAGTACTGATTACTCTTTAGGCTGTCTGTCAAAATCACACTAAACAACCAATCTGCCTAAGGAGTCAGGAGTAACAGCAGCAGAGTGGGCAGGAGCCTGGTAGAAGAGGCAAGACTGGCTGTGAGGAGAGCCTACTTAACCTCATCTTGGAACATGCCTAGAGACAGCAGGTCCTAGAAGCTTTTGTATGAAATCTATCCAGGAGTCCAACAAGTGTATGAAAGTGAGTGTGCATGAGTGTGGTGGGGAGCAGGGGAGGTGGTTGGAGATAGGAGCTGGGTTGGCCAGCTTCACTTCGTTCAGGATAAAAAATACCTTGGCAGGGGCCTAGGCAGCAATAGATGTGTCTAGGCCTCTCAGCTTATCCTCTCGCCCTGCCTGACATCACACCCTCATGATCCACATTGCTGTGGCCATCTGCTCCCTCCAGTTTCTAGCAGACTGAGGCCAAAAACAACAGCAAAATATTCTTGGAACTGGGCCCTGGCTGGGGACAGAGAAGTAAATAACAGAAGTCCTTGCTCTTTAGGAAGGCACTGCACCAAAATGGTTTGAGCCTAATCAGAGCCTCTCTTGTATAGCAAAGTCTCTGCCTCACGGGGTATATTCAAGAATTGTGTCAAGTGAACTGCGTAAAGTGTAAAGTGAACTGAATCAAAGGAGCCTACATTCCATGACTTAGCATCTGTTTGCTGTCAGGAGCCCTGCATTCTGGCATGAATAATTCAGTGACTCTGGGAAAATTACTTACCTTCTGTGGCTCTCAGTTTACCCATCTGTAAAGCAGGCTCTGTCTATCCCACAAGTTGTTATGTGTAGCCAATGAGATAATGGCTGAGACAGCACTCTGTAAATGGCATGAGATGGACCAGCAGAAGCTGAAGGAGCACTGCGGCACATGGGCTTAAAAGTTCAGAGCCCAGTCTGGGGAAGACTTAAAATAAGCTCCCTTTCTTTCTTCCCACCCAATTTAGGTCTGCTTTCCTCACGCTGGAGATGTTTTTTGCATTTCTAGTGAAGGGAGAAGGAAATCTGTCACTCAAATAGGAGAAAGAAAGGTCACCTTCTGTCTCTTTTTCAGTTTGTTCAAACCACTGTACTGCCAAAGAGAGCACAGGATTTAGATTTACAATCTTAACTTTTGTTAATCAAAAGCTATAAAACCATGAGTAAGCTTCAACCTCTCTGACTCTTAGTTTCCTCATCTCTAAATTGGGAAATTTCCTAAGTCCTAACATTCAGTTAAGATTCAATTAATTGATGTGTACTGAAATCCACAAAATGCCACACAAATACTAGTCATTACAAAGCTGTCTTCCCATCAGCTCATAAGCGATATAGGACAGTAGTTATCACCATTTCGCAGGTAGGATCATCGAAGTCCAGAGAAAATACTGACAGTAATATACAGTTCAACTCTTACCTCCTCCAGCAGAGGTAATTATTCCTTTGATTTATTATAGAAGTTGTTTATTAGTCTGTTTGCCTCATTAAACTGACAAGATCTGAGGGAGGGGACTACATACATCTTACACATTTTTGTACCCCAATGTCCAGCATGGCACACCTAAAAGATGTTAAATAAATGTTACCTGAATAATGACTAACATACTGGTAGCAAAAACATACATAACCCAGAACTCCTAATCCTAGGTCTAGAGTTCTTATATGCAGAGACAGTGGACCAAACCTCATAGATTTGACTTGTCTTAATTTTGCATCTCTTCCACAATTTCTCCACTCCGGCAAGACTCAACTTTCCATTCCTGTAGGATCTGATTCTTTGTAGGCGCTGGTCCTTCAGCCTTGAACACTGCTCATTGGGTTCTTTGCCGAGCTAATAATTCCTATTCACCCTTCAGGCCTTTCTAATTTCTCCTAATACTGGGGGGCTCCTTCCATACCTGTTTCGTTTATCACATCATGGCACACAGAATGTGTCAAAAGTATCTATTAAAGGTTGAATAAAATTCTGGATCTAGAAATCCAAGGGTGATGTAGAAGAAAATGTTCCTGGCCTGGACATAAGGAGACCTGACTGATTTTTTTTTTTATCCTCACCCGAGGACATTTTTTGATATTTTGTTCAGATAGAGTGGGAGGGAGAGAGAGGGAGAGAAACATCGACGTGAAAGGGACACATCGAGTGGTTGCCACCCGCATAACCCAACCAGGGCCGGGGACAAACTGCAACCGAAGTACGTGCCCTTAGCGGAAACCGAACCCGGGTCTCTCTGGACCGCAGGCTGATGCTCTAACCGCTGAGCCAAACCAGCCAGGGCGACCTGACTGATTTTTTATGCTAGCTCCACCACTACTGTGCTTGGTGATCTTGGGCAAGCCCCATTCGTTTGGACTATCCATAAATGAGTTATCATCTATGAATGATCTCAGAAGGTCCTTTCAGCACTGACAGTATATGAGACTTGGACTCATGCTAAGTCAAGAAGTGAGGAAATTCTGAAACCAGCTATGCGCTGGGGGACCCAACATCCCCATCCCACAAGCAGCACTAGGCACATTGGACTCTGCTGTCAGCAGCCTCCCAGCCTATTGGTTTACTTAATTCCTCCTGATAAAGTGCCAAGAATAAATCGTAGGTGAGCAGCAGAGCATTTTAATGAGTCCAGAGCCTAATGAATCTTTTCCTTCCTGTGTCAATTAGAATTTCAAAGTAGGATCCCCAAGGACCAATCTATTGGGAACAGAGAAAAGCCTTTTGTTCATCAGCTGCTGCCTGAGCTATCTGGGACCCTAGCCCTGTATATCTGCTATGTAACAGTCCTGCTTACTCAGATATTTCACCCGGTCAGATAGAGATGGTGTGGGAGGCTCCTTCTTGCCTAACATTTCTGGAGCCTGAACTTGAGAAAGAAAAGGAGGGATCCAGCATATCTGGAGGGGGTAGAATGGTCAGAGAATCAGAGCAGCTGAGTTTTTAATGCCACCTTCTAAGAGTAGTGATCTTCAAAGAGATAATATGCTTTTCACCCAACTAAGTATCAGGTAAGAAATCTATTTACCTAAGACATTTTGAAGCCTCACAACTCCAAAAGTAGGTATCAACAGCACTATTATATAGACAGGGAAATTAAAGCTCTGAGAGGTAAAATTAGCCTAAGGACCTGGCCAGTTTGGCTCAGCGGTTAGAGCATTGGCACGTGGAGCAAAGAGTCTCGGGTTTGATTCCAGTCAAGGACATATACCTCAGTTGTGGTTCAGTTGCCAGCCCTGGTTGGGGTTGTGAGGGAGGCAACCAATCGATGTATCTCTCTCACATTGATGTTTTACCCTCTCTCTCTCCCTCCCTCCCTCCCTCCCACTCTGTCTGAAAATAAATGGAAAAACATCCTTGAGTGAGGATTTAAAAAAAAAGAACTAGCCTACGGAACACAATTAGTAATTGGCAAGAAAAGATTTGAATTCATGTCTGTGTAATTCCAGAGACTGGGCTCGTACTATCAAACCACAGCAGCCTTTTCCAGGGGCTAATACAGGGCCAGAGGCTGATGTCCTGAATAGCAGAGATAGCCTATGGGTAGCCATAGCCATGCTGGATACTTGCCGCTGACACACTGTTTTTTTTTGCCCAGGCACAAGCAAGGGTGGCTGTCCATTGTTGGTCCTCCTATTCAACAGAGTTTGCAATCCCCCTGATTCCCCAGAGCATAATCTAAGCAGACACAACCCCCAGGCTCCTACCTCAGAAATCTTTTGATTTATTTGATGTGTGATGAGTTGCCAATTCTTGATCTAATGGCTCCCAGGCACCTAGTTCTTTGCCTCCTGTCCTGTCCTCTCCAAGTCACACAGGGCCAGCCCAGTGGCTTTTGCTCTGTCATCAACAAAGGAACATTTTCCAAGGTGAACAGGTAAGCAAGTCAGGTTTCCAAATGGTTCTGGAATGGAATTTCAGGGCTCTGGTGGGAAAAACACTTAAGAGTGAGGTCAAGAGGCTTGTCCAAGTTTACACAGCTAGAAAATAGCAAGAACTGGAACATAGGTATATACTGAATCCTAACGTGGCATCTATCTACATAACTATTAATTTTGAGATAAATGTAGATTCACATGCAGTAATAGGTACTCCCCCCCGCCCCCATTTTTTGTTCAGATAGAGTGGGAGGGAGAGAGAGGAAGAGAGAGAAAGAAACATTGACGTGAAAGGGCCAGGGACACATCGAGTGGTTGCCACCCGCATGACCAACCAGGGCCAGGGACAAACTGCAACCGAGGTACATGCCCTTAGCGGGAACCGAACCCAGGTCTCTTTGGACGGCAGGCTGACGTTCTAACCGCTGAGCCAAACTGGCCTAATAGGTACTTTTTTTTTTTTATCCTCACCTGAGGACATTTTTTGTTTAGAGTGGGAGGGAGAGAGAGAGAAACATCGGTGTGAAAAGGACACATTGAGTGGTTGCCACCCGCATGACCCAACTAGGGCCGGGGACAAACTGCAACTGAGGTGCGTGCCCCTAGCGGGAACCAAACCCGGGTCTCTCTGGACCACAGGCCGACGCTCTAACCGCTGAGCAAAACCGGCCAGGGCGTAATAGGTACTTTTAAAAAAGCACTTGGCATAGTGCCTAGCACACAGAAGCCCATCCAAGAAGTGTTAGCTATTAGCTAATTAGGAAAAAGAGGAGAGCAGAGCATTCAGGATGGGCCTTTAAGGAGGAGTAAGTTTCTATTTTTAAAATACTTGAGATGTAAACATATAATACCTTAAATAATCTCTCCAATGAGACCATCGAGCAGGTATTAACATTCTATTTTACAGATGAGAAAAGTGGTCTCAGGTCAAGTTACTTGCCCAAGATTACTTTGTCCCAGTATGGCCAAAAGTGGGATTCACATCCAGATATATCCTTTCAACATTGCTTCTCCAGAGATAAGCCTGGGGTTGGGTTCAAAGACAAGCCTGGATATAGGATATAGACTGGAGGTTAAGAGCAGGCTGCTGGTTTGAGCATGGGGATAGAATAAATGAAAGTAAGCAATTTAGCGACATGCTCTCCTTGCAAAGGGTAGTTCAAAGACTGGCCAGAATAAAACAGTAAATCCACATGACAAAGACCAAATACAAAGCTAAAATAAGGGCAGGTGGCAGAGAGCCACTGAATGCTAGCTCAGTTCTATGGATCATAACTTGACTCTTTTTTGCTGGACACTAAAAAGAGAGGTAGCATGAAGAAAATGAAAAGCTAGAGATTGGGAGGCAAAGAAGAAAATCAAGTTCCACCACTAACTAGATAAGTGGCCTTGGGCCAGTTGCTTGTCCTCTCTGGGTTTTTAATGTCAGGGGTTGAACTAAAAGATATCGAGAACCTCTGTAGCTTTGATCTTCCAGAAATCACTCTATTACCAGGTCATGTGTGCAAATTTGAGTGTGGGAAATGCTAATGCTGTGATTAAGCAAAGAAGCCTGAAATAAAACAGAACAATGGTGTGACAGGAGTCCTGGGCACAGGGGAAGGAAAAGAGAGCTGTGTCCAGGAAGGAAAAGAGAACTGAGAGAGGAAGAGGAAAATGAAGAAATTAAAAGGGGTTCAAGTTAATCTTGGGTAAAAGCCAGAATACATCAGGGGGCAAAGGAAGGGAGGCTGAAGCAGGATGGTACCAATCCTGGCCTTGCTTACTAACTTGCTATGTAGCCCTGGCTATTTGTTAGCCTTATTTCTCACTGGCCAAATGGACTTCAGGGCCCTGTACTAGTCTCAGCTGTCCCCTCTCTAACCTCATCTCCTGCTTCTTTCCCCCTCAGGGTACTGCTTCTGCCACAAAGTCTGACTTCTAGTTTTTTGTTTTGTTTTCTTTTCTCTACAAACACACTCTTGCCTTGAGGCTTTTTCACCTGCTCTTCTCTCAGCTGGAAATAATCTTTCTCCTCAGAAAAGCCAGTCCCTGGCCATTTTTTAACCCTTTATCCCTACTTATTTTTCTCCATAACACCTATGAAATGAGAGATTTACTCATTTTCTGTCTCCCCACTAAAACAATTTCCTTAAAGGAGGTCTGTTTTGTTCACTACTGTACTGCAGCTCCAAGAGTAGTAGCAGGCATTTGTTGAATGGATAGATGTATGAACTACTGGTCCCAAAGGTCGCTTCCAATTCTGGCATGCTATGATTTTGGAACTTGTGGAACTGGTAAATATCTCAGAAGTTCAAGCCCAGGGGAGCATAGGTTTCGCCTGTTCTTTTGGCTCCAATTTTTGATATTTGCTTTGCTTCAATAGATCTTCAAAAATGATCTCCAAATGTAACACACATCCTAACATATAGCTAGCTACACACATGCACAACTAGACAAATACATATCAATTCAAGGATCATTATCACACGTTATGTGTGAAACACAATATGTGCACAGTATTTCCTTAGCCTGGAACATTAGGCCTAACAGTTTTACCCTAACTTACTTTGATAACTTTAACCTAACCACACTCCATTCCTGAAATCCTATACTCTAGCTACAATGAACTGTTTACCTTTTTCTTTTTTTTTTTATTATTTTTTTTTTTTTATCCTCACCCGAGGACATTTTTCCATTTTTTGTTCAGATAGAGCGGGAGGGAGAGAGAGGAAGAGAGAGAGAGAGAGAAACATCAATGTGAAGGGACACATCGAGTGGCTGCCACCCGCACGACCAACCAGGGCCGGGGACAAACTGCAACCGAGGTACATGCCCTTAGCGGGAACCGAACCCAGGTCTCTCTGTACCGCAGGCCGACGCTCTAACCGCTGAGCCAAACCGGCCAGGGCCTGTTTACCTTTTTCTAAGACACACATGCAAGCATCTCTGCCTTTGTCCTCACTGATCCCTTTGTTTGGAAGCTACAGATTACTTTTCACAATTGTCAAGTAAATACCTAATCTTTCTCCAAATGTTCCATCTTTGAAGTCCAACTCAAATATCATCTCTTCTGTGAAGCCTTCCTTGATCTCTCAAGTAGTTAGTGTCCCCTTTTTCTCCATGTTCCCAAAGCACTCCACATGCTTCCATTATAGTGATCATCACTGTAGTCTACTTACTTTACCTGCTTTCTTCCTTGATAAATATGGCTCCAAAGTCCTTGACCATATGTTGGCCTTCTTCTTATTCCTAAGAACCTATCCCTGGTGCCTGGCACAAATGTTTATCAAACTGGGATGCTTATCAACTAAGAATGCTTCCTAACCTTCATTTGCAGATTTGATCAGGTAATTAGTTCTTCCTTCATACTATCCAAAACAGTTGGTTTCCCTAATATTTCTACCCACTAGGATGAACTCCTATGGAACCGAAAGCCTGAGGAAGAGTGGGCAGGAAAAGCTGGAAAGAATGGAGAGAAATAGTTTTTGCAGCCTTGAATGTCATGCTAAGGAGACTGGATTCATTCTAGAAGTTGTATGAGCAGAAAAGTGATAGAAATAAGATCTGCATCTTAAAACCTATGAAGAGAGAAAGAAAGTTATATTTCAGGAACAAAGGCTAGAGGTGGGAAAATGAATTAGTTGACAGTTAAAATAGTCCAGGTGAGAGATGATTAAGATCTGGCCTTGAGTGGTAGCAGTGAGAATGAGAGATGGGTAAAACATTGAGTTCAGAGATAAAACCACATAATGAAAAAGCAGTTACCTACTTTACCTGAGAACTCTAGGCTCAAAACAAAAACAAACTTCCTCCACATGTAATTGTACCCTCTTTGCATCCAAGATGACCCTGAGGATAGCTAGAGGCAGGGAAAAGTCTCCTTGACCAGGGAAGAAGCAAGTCCAAGATTAACAAAAGCCAAGCTTCAGGCCAGTGAGCAGAGCTGCAGGATAGCTCAATATCTTGCTTATGGCTGCTACCCGCAGAAGCTTCAACAAAGAAGTTGGATCTATACAACTGAGCAGAAAGGTACTTTCCTGGGTTGGGCCCACTCTAGCTCACTCTAATATAAGAGGCTGATCACTGCCCTGGCTGGTTTGGCTCAGCAGTTAGAGCATCAGCCAGCGGACCAAAGAGTCCTGGGTTCAATTCTGGTCAAGGGCATGTAACTTGGTTGCAGTTCGTCCCTGGCACCAGTTGGGGTGGTGTGGATGGCAACCAATCAATGTGTCTCTCTCACATCAATATTTCTCTCTCTCTCTCCCACTCTATCTGAAGATAAATGTAAAAACAGCCTTGGATTAGGATTAAAAAAAGAGAGATTGATCACTTTCAGTAGTGGTATATTAAAGAAAATTATCCAAAACTTGGAAGTAAGGCAAAAAATGATTGCGAGACCTTTTAAAGTCACGTAGCCCTGGCCGGTTTGGCTCAGTGGTTAGAGCATCCGCCTGCGGTCCAGAGAGACCCAGGTTCGGTTCCCGCTAATGGCGCGTACCTCCCTTGCAATTTGTCCCCAGCTCTGGTTGGGTCGTGCGGGTGGCAGCCACTCGATGTGTCCCTTTCACATTGATGTTTCTCTCTCTCTCTCTCTTCCTCTCTCTCCCTCCCACTCTATCTGAACAAAAAATGGAAAAAATGTCCTCGGGTAAGAATAAAAAAACAATAATAATAAAAAAATAAAGTCATGTAGAATACTTAAAAAATTGTTTTTCTTTATTGATTTTAGAGAAAGAGGAAGGGAGAAGGAGATAGAAACATCAATGAGAGAGAACATTGATTGGCTGCCTCCTGCAAGGCCCCCACTGGGGATTGGGCCCATAACCTGGGCATGTGCCCTGACCGGGAATCAAACTGGTAACCTCTTGATGCATGGGTTGACGCTCAGCCACTGAGCCACACGGGCCGGGCATGTTAGAATATTTTTATTTTTTTTATTTTATTTTATTTTATTCTATTTTATTCTATTCTATTCTATTCTATTCTATTCTATTCTATTCTATTCTATTCTATTTTATTTTTTTATCCTCACCCGAGGACATTTTTTCATTTTTTGTTCAGGCAGAGTGGGAGGAGAGAGAGGAACAGAGAGAGAGAGAGAGAAACATCGATGTGAAAGGAACACATCGAGTGGCTGCCACCCGCACAACCGACCAGGGCCGGGGACAAACTGCAACCGAGGTACGCGCCCTTAGCGGGAACCGAACCCAGGTCTCTCAGGACCGCAGGCCGACGCTCTAACCGCCGAGCCAAACCGGCCAGGGCGTTAGAATATTTTTAAATAGGTATCTGAGAGTCACCTGATACAACTGGAGTATGGCAGTTTGTTTGACTTACTGTTCACAAATGGTTAAATCCCAAGTGTTTAAAAATTCTGCCAAGTTGGAGGTTAATGTGTAGAAAACTGAGACAGTGCACTTTTTTTTTAAGCAGAGAGGATAACACCAAAGGTTACATTTTCATTTTCATTGGGACATTAATCAACATTGGATCTAATTTCAGCAATCCCTTTTCCACTAACAACATAAATCTAGTTTCTCAGCTATTCTCTTTCTCTTTCCCACATTAATGAGTTAAACAAAACTTGAAACATGCTCACCATATGTATGAGAATTATGCACATCCATAGACCTGTCTACTTCACAAGAACCAGTTGCCAGGAGTCAAGAGAAGCCTGACATCCTGGCACAGGATGTTAGTGAACTGAAATAGGTGGTCACTTATGAACAGGGCACCAGACTAAGAGTCAGGAGACTTACTACTAATTCACCATGCAACCTTAGGCATATTTTTATTGCCCCTTGCTGGGTCTCAATTGTGAAATTATAAAATGGGAAAGTTGGTCTAGTTCATTGGACAGGGTCCTGGAAACTCTGCAGGTTTAAGGCAGATGCCTCAGGGGCTATCTTTGGTGAGGGTAAGGGCAGAGGCTGAACTACAGGGCTCTACCCACCCCCTTCCCTGCTCAACTTCAAGCAGCTCTGTTTTAATTTATTTTCTTCTTTATTATTTTTTAAAATCCTCACCACAGGTATGTTTCATTGATTTTTAGGGAGAGAGGAAGTGGGGGGAGAGAAACATCAATGTGAGAGAGAAACATTGATCGGTTGCCTCTTGCACACGCCTCAAAGATCGAACCCACAACCTAGGTATGTGCCCTGAGAATTGAACCCGTAATCTTTTGTTGTATAGGACAACGCTCCAACTGATGTTTTAGATGCTGAATTTTATGTTTAAATATAGGTTCCTCTATAAACTCGATGACATTAGTTAAGGTCCCTTCCCATTCTGACATCCTAAAATTCTATCATCTTATGGCAAAATGATCTTGGAGAAAATGCAAAGCCAAAAATATCTCCTCTCCTCGCTTTGAGGAAATCTTGGAGGTGGTTTGGAAAGGGTTTAAGGTGAGATCACCATTCTACCTCGAGACTTTTGCAGCTGACATCCTGCCCTGGATCCTGGAGGAACTGCAGACCCGCGGCCGCTCTGCTGCACAGGTTGGCACTGGTCAGATGATCTGCCCATTCGCCCCACTTCTCCTGGTGAAGGCTGTGGTAGCTGACAACCCGGCACCCCAATTCTGTCCTGAACGGATATTTCTCAGTTCTTGTATTTGCTTAATGTACACTTTGACTTCTTACACGCCCCTAGATGGCAAAGCTGGATATAAGAGGCCAGCATGAATAATGGTCATTTAAAAATAAAGTTGAGAATTTGCACAATTCAAAAATATATATATATCTCCTCTTACTCCATGCCTAAAACTATATTCCAAGAGGGTCTCATTAAGAAGGTCCTAGCAGTTGAGTAGGAATGGGTAAGGAAGGGGACAAGTGGGCAGAGAAAGGCTCAGAAAAGGGCAGAGACTAAGGGCCTGACCCTTTTGCAACTTAAGATTTTAAGACTGTGTAGGCCCATGCCAGGGACAGAACCCTCTCAGAGGTGACTTAGACTTACTGGTCTTATCAAGACTAAGGATTTAGACTCTAGCCACTGGCTCTGTCACATGAAGGCAGGTGCCTTCAGTTTCCTCACAGTAATATCTCTGCAAGTACTCTGTAAACTGAAAAGTGAGTACAGATTTGAGGACCTATTCGAACAATATTATTTCAAAATCTTTTATGTGTATATGTCTCCTCTCCTGCCTGGTCCCTGAAGGATGCTCATCAAGCTTGAATTGTACAGACCCTCTCTCTCTTTCCTTGTACTTCAGAGTTGGACATACAAGTAGGGTCTTATTTCTCTTATTGAAAACAAGTACACTTTTTACTAGGGACTTAGTGGCCTCTCACTTAGTGCTTGGATCTCTGTGCCTACACCTGAGTCCCAGAGAAGTTAGTTTGAGGCAGAGCAAAAACTCCTAAGAAAATGCACTGAAAAAAAAAAAAGAAAGAAAGAAAATGCACTGAAGCCCAGCCAGTGTGGCTCAGTGAACAGAGTGTCGTCCCATGGACTGAGAGATCCAGGTTTGATTCCTGGTCAGGACACATGCCCAGGTTGCAGGCTCAATCCCCAGTAGAGGGCATGCAGGAGGCAGCCAATCGATATTTCTCTTTCACATCAGTGTTTCTATCTCTCGTTCTTCCTCTCTCTCTAAAAAAAAAAAAAAAAAAAAAAAACATTTAAAAAAAAGAAAGAAAATGCACTAAAGGCATGAAATATACTCCTATTATACTAAAGCCATTAAAAGCTCCTTCTAGGCACTCCTGAAAACTCTACCCCTCCTGGAAGACCTGACTCAGGCCAGAAATGCAATTTGGTACTCAGGAAAGAGCTTACTATACTAAGTGCATGGGGGTCTATGGGTTTAGAAGGACCTAAATTCAAACCTCAATTCTTTCAATACTAGGTATATGACCTCAGCCAAAATCACTTAACTTCACTGAGCCTCAGCTTTTCACTCTGGTGCTATTAATAAACTTAATGAGTTATAAAGATTAAGGGAGATAATCAATTTAAAGTACCTATCACAATACCTGGCACATGGTAGGTAAGCATTCAGTAAATGTTACTTCCATCAAGAGGGAAAGGGCAAATAGCAAGACTACTGAATGTGACTCACATGACAGGTAGGAAGGACTTGGGGACAAACCCTAGCCAGCAGCAGATCAGAGCTATGAGTGTCTCAGAATGGGAATGGGCTGATTTGGAGAGTCTGTTGTGCTATTCTAAGAGCATCTGGATCCTGTTCCGGCCAAAGCAAATCAAACAGGAGTGCTTATGGAGCGTGCTTGTTTCTAAAACAAGTACAGGCTGTGTTATTGACACATGCCACAGGGGAATTGAGAAGGTTGTTGGCAGAGAAGTTAAGAAAGCTGACATGCTTTCAGTTCTAATCTTTGCTAGTACATTCGTATGGGTACAACCGACCTTGGCTCTAGAGGAGAAGAAAACCTTGGACTTAGACACAAAAAACCCTAGGTTCTGGTGTGAACTCGACTCTGAGCACGAGACTTCAGCTCTCTGGCCTGTTCTTTTGTTTGTTTTTTCCCCTCCTTCACATAATAATTCTCTATGTGCCTGCTCTATTATCACTATCCTAATTTTCAGATGATGAGTCTATAGCTAAGAGAGATTAAGTTAGTACTGGCAGAAATTTTAATGCAAGGTCTGCTGTCAAAGCCTGTAGTCTTTCTACTCTGCTGCATTCTCTCTCAGTGTTAAATAAGGGGATCGCACCAGGTGGACCAAGGCATTCAACCTGAAAATTTATGATTCTTAGTGGCCTGAAATTGTGGTTTCAAGAGCATTCTAAATACTCTAGGGCTAGATAAAGCCTGGCTGGTTAAAAAGCCTTCTCATATGAATGATATCCTCAACATCAGCAAAATCTGGGGTATAAACACAACTTGAGAGCCAGAAGAGAGTGGACAATGAAATTTTAGAAAGCCCTGAAGAGGCCCTTGGAGAATGCATTGCTTGATTAATTCATTTTATAGATGGAGGTATGGAGGCTGCAAAAAGAGAAACAACTTGACTGGGAATACCCAGAAAGTGGGTAATGGAACACAAACTAGGTTCTATGCCTCATGGTCTCTCTCATACTTGCTATCTACTCAGTCTCCAACCTTCTAGGCTATTCTGATCTTCTCTTTGATATTTCTTTTCCAAATGCTGGGTGACAAGCAAATCACTACCCCTGCAGCAAACTCCCAGACACTTCTAACACCTTCTCTTTGTAGGTAACAGTTCTTTGTTTGTAACTGTCCCTGGTGTAGCCTTAGCAGGACTGAGGCTAAGGCTTCCCCTTTGGCCCCCTTCTCACTTTTTTCCCCCTTTAACGAGTTGATGCCTTTGAACCACAGACCCATATGCCTTTGAAGGCACAGAACTGGAAGGGACATCCGCAATTATAGATCAACTTTCTACCTCATTACCTCTTTTTAGAGCTGAGGAAACTGTGGCCCAGAGATATCAAATGGTTTCCCAAGGTTGAGGTAGTAGAACAGGGTTAAGAGCCTGAGTTGTAATACTCACCTTCTACTACAATCTGACAATGAACACATGATATCAGAGTTTACTTCAATTACCGGTGGCTGAACAACAATGCAGGCCAGGCATTTTCATCATTTCCTGTTAGCATCACAATAACCACATAGGCATTATTGCTCCCATTTTGCAGGTGAGAAAAGTACAGCTCAGAGAGGTTAGTCGCACAGGAAATAAATGTCAGAGCAAAGACTCAAACCTTTGGCTTTTTTTTTTTTAATCCTTACCCGAGGACATTTTTTTGCATTCATCTTCAGATAGAGTGGGAGGAAGAGAGAAAGAAACATCGATGTGAGAGAGACACACTGAGTGGTTGCCACCCACACAACCCCAACCTGGGACAGGGATGTACTGCAACCAATATACATGCCCTTAGCAGGAACCGAACCCAGGACTCTCTGGTCCGCGGGCTGACGCTCTAACTGCTAAGGCAAACCGGCCAGGGCCAAACCTTTGGCTTTAAAGCCTCTTCTTTCCCCAGTATCATATGGCCTAAGGTTTTTAAGACTATACACAATGGTGGGAAAGACACAATTAATCTTCCCAAAGATCAGTTATACTATAGGTAACTTTTATCTCTTGACCTATGCAGTTATACAGTAACTCTTTTTTTTTTTTTTTTATCCTCACCCGAGGACATTTTTCCATTTTTTGTTCAGGTAGAGTGGGAGGGAGAGAGAGGAACAGAGAGAGAGAGAGAAACATCGATGCGAAAGGAACACATCGAGTGGCTGCCACCCGCACAACCGACCAGGGCCGGGGACAAACTGCAACCGAGGTACGCGCCCTTAGCGGGAACCGAACCCGGGTCTCTCAGGACCGCAGGCCGACGCTTTAACCGCTGAGCCAAACCGGCCAGGGCTATACAGTAACTCTTGACTGGCTATGCAAATTAGGGAAATGGAGAGAGGCATGAAGGTAGGGGAGGAGAGTGGAGACTCAGATAATACAAAATGATGGATTATTCAAAAGAAGCAATTTCTGCTTTTGTGTTAACATGGTATTCTGTATGACAGTGTCGTTTTGTTTTTCTGCATTTGCCTCATCATAAAATCGTAAGACCTCTTTATTCATGTCCTTCTTTTCTCAGGGTTCCAGCACCACAGCTGCTGATAGACCTTGGTTTCCTGATCTGTTATTTCCCAGTTTCCCAGCTCGGATTTTTGATCTCTTGGCTTTCACTTTAGGCTCAGGACCCTGTTTATCTGCCACAGCCAACACTTTCAGAACTGCCCTCTAATTGATCTGACCTATAGGACCTACCAGTCCCTCTTCTGTCTGGCCTAATACTCTACTAGGACAGAAAGGTCCTCTTTAGTTAATGAAAACTGAGAAAGAAAGGAGACACAGGGCCCAAGGGGGTCCAGAGTTCTTTGTACACTATTCCTTCCCCACAAGTGAGTTGGGCCTTATTGCTTTTCTATGATAGCAACCCTCAAGAAAGCCAGTTCTTTCTGAAACCAAAGTAATAAAATGTTGGCAAAATTCCTGGGTGGGGAGAGAACAAGGACAGCTCCTTCTTATATGAGCTCCTCTGTCAGCTTGCCTCAGATTTTCCCAATTGAACTCTCTTGGGGCCATGGGATGATTACACTAGCAGACAATGAATCTCCTGCCTTACTAAGCTACAAGGTCCATTTTGGGCAGACATTCATCCCCACACCTTGAAGGATGATAATGCACTGCTACTACTCCTAGACCTTCTCAGACTCTGTCCAGGTCACTATCACAATAGTTACTAACATTAATAGTCCCTTACATTTACACCATATCTAACAGTTATATATAGCACTTATTTGAAATATGCCTTACACAGTAGGCTGGGTAGAAACTATTCCTTGTTAACAAATGAGAAAACGAAAGGCCACAGATACATACCCAGTAAGCTCAGGCATTGCTCAGACCTCTTGCCATCCTAACCTATTTAAACTTCTTTTAAACTGCATTTATTTTTGTTTGTTTGTTTTATCCTCACCCGAGGACATTTTTCCATTTTTTGTACAGATAAAGTGGGAGGGAGAGAGAGGAAGAGAGAGAGAGGGAAACATCAATGTGAAAGGGACACATCAAGTGGCTGCCACCCGCACGACCAACAAGGGCCGGGGACAAACTGCAACCGAGGTACATGCCCTTAGCGGGAACCGAACCCAGGTCTCTCCGGACTGCAGGCGGACGCCCCAACCGCTGAGCCAAACCGGCCAGGGCTTAAACTGCATTTAAACTGCATTTAAACTTCTTTTTTTCCCCCTTCAAATATTCCCAAGTGGCCTTTATTTCACAAAATTATTTCCAAATAACACTTTTACTATATAATATTAGTTAAAAGGAAAAAAAAAAAGCAAACTCACAAATTATGTGCTTTAAAAATGGATTTCTTCTACCTTGAGGCTCTACACATCAGATAGTATTAGTTCCCAAGGCTGAGTCAGTGAATTCTTAACTCTCTTACATTAACCTGAACTTGGACTTTCACATTAGGTTAGGCATACATACACCAAAAGAGCTTCTGAGTCATGTCACCTGCTCAGGCAGAGGCTTAGATTTTCCATGCTCTTGTGTGCTTTTCCCCAGCCCATTACTAAATCAATTAGCCAGTCTCTGAAAACCACAGCCTACAATTTTAGTATATGTGCTGCCGATGTGAACACAAAAACCACTAAGCCTTATTTCTTTAATGGAATCAAATCTCTGCTTTGAATTTTAGTCATTAATAAGCAATAGAGGTATTCTGCAAGGCCTCCAAAGCCATCTTGAAGCCTCTGAAGTCTGGGGCAGCTGTCTCCTCCAGCTCAGTATCAGGCAAAATCTCCTCAGAAGCCTGGGAAACACTGACTTTCCATGTGTCACCTGACTTGCTGCTGCACTGCCGCTATCTCCTACACAGAGCTCAGGCCTGACCAGTGCTGATAGGCAGGCAGGATCCAGGCTGCCCAGCACTATGGGTCTAGCCCTAGCCCCCTCCTTGTTGGTAAGGCATACACTACAGATCACTTGTCTCTTCTATTGTTGTTAAATTAGGCCCTTTCTGAGGTTCTAGGTACTTCTCCAGAGACTACTACATCAGGAGAAACAAACTACCAGCCTACAGGTCAGTAAGCCTGAAGAAGAGTTCATTTGGGCTACACAGTGCCTTAAAAAATAAATTAAGCCTTAAGAAACTAGAAAAAAAGAAGAGCAAACTAAATCCAAAGCAAGCTGAAGTTAAGAAATAATAAAGATTAGCCCTGGCCGGTTTGGTTCAGCGGTTGGAGCATTGGCCTGCGGTCCAGACAGACCCGGGTTCGGTTCCCGCTAAGGGCGCGTACCTCAGTTACAGTTTACCCCGGCTCCGGTTGGGTTCTGCAGGTGGTGGCCACTCGATGTGTCCCTTTCACGTCGATGTTTCTCTCTTCCTCTCTCTCCCTCTTACTCTATCTGAACAACAACAACAAAAAGAAATAATAAAGATTAAAGTAAAAATAAATAAATCATCAATGGCCCTGACTGGTAAAGCTCAGTTGGTTGGGTGTTGTCCTGTGCACTGAAGGTTGCCCGTTCTATTGTCAGTTCTATTCTCAGTCAGGGCACATGCCCACAGTTGTGGGCTTGATCCCTTGTAGGGGCCATGCAGGAGGCAGCTGATGGATGTTTCGCTCTCACATCGATGTTTCGCTCTCACATCGATGTTTCTCTCTCTCTCTCTCTCTCTCCCTCTAAAAAAATAAAATAAAAACAAAGTTGGTTCTTTGAAGAGATCAATAAGATTAACAGACCTTTAACAAGATTGACCAAAGAGAGAAGCTACAGAAGAAAGAAAAGCCTCAAAAAAAAAAAAAAAAAAAAAGAGAGAAGCTACAAATTGCCAAAACCAAGATTGAAAAGGCAGTATCTATCACTACTGACTTTACAGAAGTTAAAAGGATTATAAGGAAGTACTGGGAACAACTTTAAAGACAAGAAATTAGACAACCTAGGCAAAATAAACAAATTATGAGAAAGATACAAATAATCAAAATTCAATAGAAAATCTAAGTATACTTGAAACAAGTAGGATTCCAAAATGATGGCGGAGTGAACAGAAGCTACACAGACCATCTCCCAGAACCAAACTGGGATTACAACTATAACACGGACAAATTGACGGGAAAAACCAACAGAAAAGCAGCTTGCGAGGACCATATAACCAGGGACACTGACTCCATCCTGGTAGGCTTGAGAAGGCGCGAGACGGGGGCTGGGAGCCCATGGTCAGCAGCTCGGAAGTGGCCTTAGCTGGGAGCGGCACCCTTGGGTTAAACTCCCAAGTGGCTCCACAGCGCAGAGCCAGGACAGAGGCTAAAATAGCCACAGCCACTCACCTTGGGCTCCGGCAGAGGGAGGGCAGACTGGACTGGAACTGTGTGGGGACACTCGGGATTTGGAGGGTGCTCAGAGCTTTTGCTGAGTTGCTGCCACGTAGGACGGTGGCCATATTGCTCCTTCCCAGGGCTATGGGGAGAGGCAGCAGCCCCTCCCTCAGAGATCCAACCCCACCCTGTGGGCCACTGAAGTGCTAATTAAAGCTCATTAACAACCAGCATCTACCCACCCTCGTGAAATCCCCTTATGCTGAGCACCTGAGGGAGTTTTTCAATCAACTGACAACCCAAAACCCATCAAGTAACCTCAACTGCTAGCCTCCAGGCAATAAACTAGAGGATAACAGTACCTTTCCTGGGCTAGCAACTTTAACCAGGAAAGTAAGACTTGACAGTGGTGTTTAACGTGGGTCCTCCCTCGCTCATCAAAACCCAGGAGGGGGAGCCTCAAACAGCAGAACACCAACACCCACAGGGAAAACTTGACAGGCTCCAAAACCCACGGTGATAGCCAAAATGGTGAAACACAGAAACAGAAGCCAAATGAAAGAGCAAGAGACCTCCACCGAAGATGAGATCAATGTGGAGCAATTAGGCATGTTAACAGAGCTAGAATTCGGAGCCATGATCTTGAGGAAGCTGAACAGCATGAGTAAGGACATAGAGCCACTGAAAATAAGCCAACTGGAAATTAAAAACCATCAAGAAGAGATAAAAAATGACATATCAGAAATGAAAAAACACATT